CGGAACAAAGGGTGCATATTTGCTAGTTCAAAGTTCAGCTGTAAAACCTTTACATTTTATGGAATGACTATGCATACTGGATCTCGATGCATTATTTCCTGGAATAAGGAAAATTGCACAATCTGAGAAATGCCACCAGGAAAAGCCCGATAGGCTGCTACCCGTTCTGTGCACACTGCTTGGCTTTCTGCACACGGTTTTTGAAGAATAATAGCCGTGACATGACTAATGCTGGAACGAGTGTTGTGTAACCAGGACAGATGATCACATGCATAGTTCAAGTAATATCTAGAGAAGGAGCGCAAACACCAAGCCTCCATTCACAACTTTGTGCTGCGGGAAGTCACTCGATATCACAACACGTGAAAAAGGTGCGTGTTGCACGTTGCTGTGCTGGGGTACAAATCAATCATTCTTAAAGGCAACTTAACGCACCTAACCAATGGATGTGAATTGCAGCACACCGCAAAGCATTGTAATACACTACCAAGCGTTCTAGTGCGCTGTGTTAAGCTGCGATCATCGGACGAAAATTTTCGTACGGCGGCCCAATGGATCAGTGGTAATTAAAAGAAAGCACCTGGACGAATTGCGGTAATGGACCGCACGTTATCTTCGCATGTGCAGTGTAAATCGTACTAATTTTGACGTACGGAAACGCCACGAACCTTGCGAAAATCGTACGATCGACCAAAGTTTTCTAACCTGCTGGATAGTCAAAAGTCGATTGATTGTACAGTATTTGCGGTTGTACACTGCCCATACACTGTACGAATATCGGGCGATATTCGTACGGTGTATGGGCACCTTTACAAAGTTTGGTGCTGCAGGTAGCCTATTCAAATGAACGAAGACAGCCCAAGGAAGGCAATGCATGTTAATGTGAGTGCATTATCGCAGCATAACAGTGTGAACTAGGGCTGCAGCAAACTAATATTTTAAATCGATTAGTTGCCCAATTATTATTTTCCATTAATCGATTGGTTGATTAAAAAAATTCTCTCTCGCTCTGCCAACTATCTCATAACCGATTAGTTGTTGCAGCAGTAGTGTGAACCCAGAATAAGCATCAAAGGCAGCGCTGCACACAAGTGCATTGCTATGCAGTCTTCATATGACAGATTGGCAAGTGATCAGCTCTAGAAGGGAATTTCTTCAATGTAGCTGTACCTGTAATGTAGCTGTACCCATTACACATCGTAACATCCCGTTTCCAGATAGTTCTGGGCAGTAGAGGATTGTTCTCAAAGCTTATGTAGCATATATTCCTTGAACTGCATTCTCACCTTTGTTCAGTGGCCTAAAGCAGGCCATACACCTAGAGATTATCTGCAGATTTTCTAGGGTCAGATGGAAAAAGTGCTACAGATTCCTCCAACTACGCTAAACTGTTTATGGAGGAAAGTCCCACTGAGCCAATCTTCAGTATCTTCGGCCCCGCTGGCTCTCAAAGCACCTGAACAATGCCTGCATCCAATCAGATTGTTCAGGTATTTTGGCAGCCAGCGGGGCAGACTAGCAAGATACTGAAGCTTGGCCCAGTGAGAGATTCCTCCACCCACAGTTTAGCGCAGATGGAGGAATCTGTAGCACTTTTTCCATCTGACCTTAGAAAGTCTGCAGATAATCTCTAGGTGTATGGCCAGTTTAAGTTTCCCCATTTCCTTTAACCTCAGTCCTAGCAATTCTTTTCCTTCACAGTCTCCACCTGAAGTTTCCATACAGCTCATTAGTGCCGAGTCATTTTCAGTGTGTATGACAGCCGGCGTCACCTAGACGCTGCGTTCTTGGCCTGGCTGTCAGGGACACTCCCACTATCTTCCTCTCTACTACCAGAGTCATGACTCTCACTTCATTTGTGGAAGTTACTAACCTGTCAGGAGTCCTGAGGGCTACGAAACAGGATTGAGCGACAGGTAATGGGTGTCACTAGATAGTCTCTGTCACTCAGTCCTTCACACCATCACTCTGTCCTTCACACCATGACAGAAGACACTTTTCCATGCATTCAGGCACACAGCATTAGACTACCCATTCATAATGACATGTAACGCACCTCAATGCAGGAACATTTTATGCATGCTGTGTTGCGATATTGAGTGCGTTTTGAACGAACTTTACCCCAATGTGCTGGGTGAAGGAGCCTTGAGACAGCAAGAAAATGTATAATGATGTCAAAGAAATGTAAAAAGAAATCTCTAGGACTACACTAGGTAAAAACGCCAAAGAATACCTGTAGTTCCTGCCAGAAATCTAGTCAGCTAAAAAACATCCCATGCTGCAATATAAACAGTTACAATATTCCCATCTGAGGACTACAGAAACCCTCCACTGCATGTTATGGAGAAGAAAGGGAGGTGTTCTTTAGTACTGTCCTAGGGTAACAACACAGTTAGTCCATGGACACAATATAGCAAGTGTTTTCACCCTGCTTTGGGGACCAGCATTACAACTTATAACCCTACCCATAGGCTTACACTTGCAGTGGGAAGGGGGCACGACAAGGGTAGTTTTTGTGTAATTCTTTGAGTTTTTGTTTTTTTAAAAGGTCAGGCTTGTTTTATCCAATTAGGGAAGGTCATAGTCACAAATGGGTTTTCAGTGAACGTTAATAAGGTCACCGTGTGCCAGAAGTGACAATAGCTGATGTGTCATTTCTAGTTGCTTATCTGGAGAGACATGTACAGTAGCGAGTCAGAAAACGTCTACATCGGCAAATTTAAAAAGGGAGCGGACACTAAGCGGCCCCAGTAAGATAAATATCACACCGTCTATGGGGCCCTCCGAAATATGGTCACTGACAGGAAGATGAAATCATCTGAGAAGCAGCCTTTTCTAAATCCCATGCTACACAGTATACAGCGAGGGGGTCAGAACACCCTTATTCATAGTTTGCCCGGAGTGCGGCTTTAAGTTGTTATTCATTATGAAATACTCAGGAGATGAGCGAGAAGTGGCCCCATAGTTGCTCATGTATGTGTGCAGAACTATTCAATAAAACAATGCAAATGAAGATGTAAGGGTACACCATAAATCAATCACAACTAAACTGATCACTACAGTAAAAGTAAAGATGATTGGCTGCCATCAGGTAATGCCCGATTCTTCCATTTATTACATCTGAAGGACCTTCCATAACACAGCCATCAACATTCCAAAGAGAAGTCAGAACTGGGTTACCATGAGAGAGATCAGTCACTGAGCTCTCCTATTGATCCAAGGAGGTGATGATACATGATCGCTGGCCCTTAATAAGGGTTCTTCGCTGGCAGACTGGATGATTTTGTTGCCATTAGATCCTTATGGACTCTCTGGCTTTTACTACTGACCTGGCCACACCATTAAATCCGACTATATTCTGGGCCAAAACTCTCTACTCTCCAGAACTTAACATGTAAACATGGGGGGGGGGGGACACACACACTTTATTCCACTCTCCGTGGCAGATGTGCAGAGACAAGATGTATGGTCACAACGCACACTGGTGTAAACCAGCCCTATATCGGCTTTCTACCATGTCTTTGCACTAGGCAATTGCTGCCCAAGGGGGCTGATGGGCCTGAGCCCTTCGATCCTCCAATTACTATGTAGTACAAGGGTCTTCCTGAATGGCTCCACATTGAATGGATAGTTTAAGCGGGTACTTGTTACATTTGGTCAATCTAAAGGAGACTTTACAAAGGATTGTAACACGTACAGTTATCTTAAGGCCTCATTCACACGAGAAAAGGCCGGCACGTACAGCTGGATGGGCAGCTCCCGGGAAGGACAGGTGCTGCGTGTGATTAGTACGCGGCTCCTGTCCTTCTCTATGGTAATATGCGGCCGCACTCCACCCTACACGTCCATGCGGGTGTCCGTACTCGTACGCTGACAGGATGGATCCTGTCTGCGTCCGAGCCGGGACACCCGCACTTGAGGTAAGTGTAAGGTGGCATACTCCCATAGAGAAAGACAGGGGCCGCGTACTAATCACACGCAGCACCTGTCCTTCCCGGGAGCTGCCCGATACGTCCCTGCACACAGCACAGAGCTGTACGTGCCGACCGTTTCTCATGTGAATGAGGCCTAAAGCTCACCACGCATGTTACAATCTCCTTTAGATCCACCAACAGCGATGTATTATGGGGCCAGCCAATTGGCTAGTTTAGGCGTGTCCTCATATTAGTTTTGGTAAATCGAATGTTGTTGACTGTAGGAAGATTGTAATGTGTGTGGTGAGCCCAAGAGCCAGGCCTACCTGATCAATCCATTGATGTTCTACCCAATCAGGTAGACCATTGCACCACACAGCTATGGGTAGACCTCAGAGATCACACAACCAGACTGTGGACCAGCTTCCGGAGACCCTGCCATGTCACAGCCATTCATGGGATAGGGATAAAGGAGAGCTCCAGGAATTCCCATTAGATGGACTGAGAGCGGGAAGTGAAAGATGTTAATGGCACATTCCCATGTTCTGTCCTTCCCCTGATACGGTTGGCTCAGCCCTTCCGCTCCCCATTATTTCAATGGAATGAGTCTCCACAATGGCGGCCCTATAGACCTCCATTTCGGGAACCAGTTCCATTGACAATAACAGGGACCGGGAGCATGCGGTAATGATTTGCTCTTCAGAGAGCCATATCCAGGAAACAGAGGGAGATGTCACCCTTACAGATACTTGCCGCCGGTGACAACTCGCCGGAATTGCTACCAGGGACACCTTGGAAACTGGCGAGCCTCTTCAGCGATCATTGGGGACAATTTACCAGGGACACCTTACCTCCAGATGTCCTTTTCAATGATCATTTCTGGAGCTCTCCTTTAACCTGTCACAGCAAGATACCTATGTGAGAAGCTTCAGATGACAGCTGTCATTCTCTATCCCCAGTGAAGCTGATCCAGATGGTGCCAATGATGTAGAAGTAGCAGGCCAATCAGGAGCAGCTTCCACCCAAAGCATTTCACACGGGCACCTTGCCGTCACCTATCATAGGCCCCCCCGCCGTCATCCTCACCGTGCTTGCCCGGCACCACCTCCACCGCGGGCCCGTTGGCACAGTTCTCCACCAGGTTGTTGGTCTCCTCCCGGTCCAGGGCGGCCCCCTCTCCGGGCGATTTCTCCCGTCCACGGAGGTTCTTCTTCCCCCCGTGCGAGTGCCCGTGGCCGCCGCCTCCCCCTCCGTGGGAGTGCCCGTGCCCGGCGCTGTCCCGGAACATGCACAGGCCGAAGAGGTTGATGATGAGTCCGCCGGCCCCGACGCCTATCACCACCAGCGGCTGCTCGATGGCCTGCGGCTCGGTGAAGCGCTCGATGGCCTCCAGCACGATGGTGAAGCACAGGGCGGTGAGGAAGATGGCATTAACCAGGGCCCCCATCACCCCGGCCCGGATCCAGCCGAAGGTGTTCTTGTCGGTGGAGCGGGTCTTCTGGGCGAAGCGCACAGCGATCAGGCCGACCGACAGGGCGATGACGTCGGACAGCATGTGGAAGGAGTCGGAGAGCATAGCCAGGGAGCCGGTCAACCGGCTGATCACCACCTCCACCACGAAAAACACGAAGGTCAGGCTTAGCATGCATAGCAGCCGCACTCGGTTGGACTCCCACATCTTGGTTCGTTATCAGCCCGTGCTGGGGGGCGAAGGTCGAAGGAAAGAGGAGTGGCGGCCCGTCAGCGGCTATGGCGGAGAGTTTAGGCCGGAGACCGGCAGTAGCGGCGGCGGCTTCTCCCTCACTGGGCATCTCTGACGTCCGGAGGAGGAAAATAATACAAACTTTTGCACCCGAAACCGTCTTTTCCACACGGAGCGAGCTGAGGAGTCCCGCCCAGCCGCTGCCCCCCGCCTGCCATTGGCCGAGCCGGGGTAGGGACGTGACGGAGAGCGCACACTGCCTGTAGCCATGGCAACGGCCGCCATTACCTGAGGAAAGCGCTATGATACCTCTGAGCCTGACTGTCGCCAAGACGCCATTGGCCAAGTCCTCAGTGACTATGGCAACGGCGCCGTGATAGAGTCCTATGTCTCTATAGCAACTGCGCCGTGGTAAAGCCATTCATTGTTATGGCAAGAGCACCATGACCACGTGACTAGAGGGGAGCGCAACTGAGGGCCGTGCATTTGCGTTTATGCGCGTCTGGCCCCAATTCATGCGCTTGCATTTTACTGTTTGTCAGCAACGGTGATGCTTAGTTGATGTTCGTTTTGCGTCTGTGCATTGTATGGCATTGGCGTTGCGGTGCAATGTGTGGTATTGAGGTACCGCAAGTTGCGGCGTGGTTGATCGCATGCAGCATTTTTGCAGATTGCACTGGACCGGAACACAGGCACTAATGTCTGCTTTCTTTGCGGGCGTGGCTGCGGTGGCATTGACTTCAATGAACGCAGGTAGCCAGCCGGCTTGCGTTCCAGATGCCGAACGCTCTGCAACGTAGACTTTGTGGTGTGAACCGGCCCTAAATCTGCCCGTACATTATGCAAATTCCTGAAGAATCGACCACATCCGCACAGGAGCTGCTGACGGCACCCTTTCAGCAGATCAAAGGAACCCGTCAGAAAGTCTTCGAATGACCAGAGTCGGCAGCCAATGAGCCGCTGTCAGAATACAAAAGTAACAGCGGCGATTCCTCGATCTACGCACTCGTAGCGCTGATGGAGGAATCTCTTGTATTTCTTTCATTCAGCCCGCAGGTTGGATGTTGAAAATAGAACAGCGTTTGGCCAGCTTAAGTCCCCATTCACACCTTTGTGTTTCGTAAACGCACATCTCGTTCACCGCGTTTTTTTCGCGTATGTGCCACACATCCCCCATTGATGTCAACGGTTGCCACACGCGTGACAAATGCAGAAACGTAGCTCTTGTAGCAGATTCTGCTACAGGCGTATCGCATTTTTTCACCACGCCATTGTGCACGTTTAACGTGCGTAAATGCATGGTGAAAATTGCACTTTTTCCCAGCTGCGTTTGGGGTGCCATTAACAAGTAATGGCACAACAAGCGCGTTGCAGGTTTTTGACATGTTCTGTGAACGTGCGTCAACGCAAAGGTGTGAATGAGGGCTAAATATCACCCAAACCGTCCTCTCTGCTCCTCCCAAGATCTCTTGCTCGCTCATCACCTCCTTCCATGCCTGCCTTCAGGACTTCTCCAGAGTCTCTCCCATCCTCTGGAACTTTCTACCCCAATCTGCTCAGCTATCAGCCTACTCTGCCTTTAGGCGATCCGGGAAAACTCATCTAAACTTAACAACCGAAATGTTACTTTCTCCATCAACTAATGAACTCTCGTAGTTATTACCTTTGGATCATTTGCCCCTCCCTTTTAGATTGTAAGCTTTCATGGGCAGGGCCCTCCTAATCCTTTTGTAACTGTAATGTCTCCTTTATTCCTCAAAGTGCGACACAAACTGTTGGTGCTATATAAATCCTGTAATATAATATTATGCAGTGCTTTTTTTTCTAGGCAAAAAAGTGCCAGTACTCACGGCACCTTTTTGCCAACAAAAAGCATGTGGTGGCCATCTTTGTTGAGGGCAGGGATGCACTGTGCATCCCTGCTGCCACAACCAAGATGGCCACCAACAATAAACCTCAATGTAGGCGGTCGTTTTGGTTGTGGTAGCGCAAGATTGCCGCTGGCAATGATGTTTATTGTCAGCGGCCATCTTTTTGGTGATAATTGGCTCCAGAAGACAAGCATCATCACCCTGCGCAGGAAAAATGTTTTCTCTATGTTTACATACCGTCACAGACATACAGCGGGGAATTTAATAAAACCGCAACAGACAGAATTTTGTGCAGTTGCCCATATTAACCAATCAGCTTCTATCATTGTCAAAGCCTAACTGAACAAACTGAAGAGAGAAACTGGTTGCCACCGGCAACTGCTCTAAATTCTGTCTACTCCAGTTCTGATAAATTCCCCTCACAGAGTTTGTTTTGCATATTAGGGCGAGATTTTCATTAGTGATTAGTTCATCAGTGTTATGGGGGACATTACATGCTGGTGTTCATTCCAGAAAACCTCCATATTTACATTGAGGCAGTGTGTGTGTGTGTTTTGCACTCTCGTACAGAAGAATTGGGAGACATCCCAGAATATTTTTCCTGGCAGATATACCTCTCTGTGTGTATCACAGCAACAACTTCCGTAGCTGTTTGCCTGTCATACCCCCTCCTTGTTTTTGTATTTTGATTTTTTTTCAGGGGGGGTTTAATGTCTTAATTTTTTCTCTACTTTCAGGTTTTTTTTTTATTTAAAAGAGGGGGTGGGGCAGGGGCGTAACTAGAAATCACAGGGCCCCCTAGCAAAATTTTGTATGGGGCCCCGTGATTTCTAGTTATACCCCTTGCAGAGCCCACTCGACTTGCAGAGCCCACCATAGACTCTCTATGTGCCCTTCTCATTTCAGGGGGGTGCCCTCTGCCCCCCACCCTATCCGCAGGGGGAGAGAGCACGCCCCTAAAATGATGTCAAATAGCAAAGAAGCTATTGCTTCCTATGCTATCTGCAGGGTTGTTTTTTTTGCATTCTTACAGCTGCTGCCGTCAGAATAATAAAAAAACCATAAAAATGCATAGCTAAATTGCTATTGGCTATTTCAATTTGCAATATCCAATAGCAAGCTGGCTATTGCACCCGCCCTCTGCTGCTGTCAATCACTAGAAAAGGACCTGATGGAGAACTTCAGGTCCTCCTCTGCTGATTGACAGCAGCAGAGGGTGGGTGCAATAGCTAGTTTGCTAATGGCTATTGTAAAGTGAAATAGCCAATAGGAAACTAAATATGCGTTCCTGTGCCGGCGGCTCCCATGTCAGAAAAAAAAACAGCAGGGAAAGGTTTATTCTGCTCTATCGAGCAGAGTAAACCTTTCCGGGTTAAAGTGACTGTCTCCCAGGCGGCCGGGAGCCGCTATCCAATAGCAGTAGACTCCCGGAGCATCCGGGAGAGTTGGGATGTCTGCATATCTAACAGCTTCATGAAGCAGAGTCGTGTATCCAGCCTATGCTGTATTAACCCCTTCATGACTGAGGCCCTTTTTTCATTTTTTGCACCCATGTTATATTCCACATTTTAGGCCTGAAAATGACGTAAAACCCCCCAACATTATATATTTTCTGAATGCCAAGACCCTATAGAATAAAATGGTGGTAGTTGAAAATTTTTATGTTGCGCAATATTAGCGCAACTCCTTATTAAACCCCAAAATTTAGTGACAAATTTAATTAAATGCCCCAAAACACAACAAATTACCCATTTTTTTAATGAAATATAAAAGATGAGGTTACAACGAGTAAAACGATACCCAACATGCCCAGTTTACAGATTGCGTGCGACCGTGAAACGGCGAAAAACTGCAGTACCCCAAAAAGTCAATAAAAGACGCTTTAAAAGCCCCCACAGGTCATCAATTTAGAGATACCCCAAAATACTGGCCCTAGAATTATTGCTCTCACTCCGGCGTGTGCGGCGATACCCAACATGTGTAGCGCGTTCGTCGGTTTCATGCGTAGGCGCACCCGTCGCGTGTTTACGTGGCTTAGACCTGGGCTGCCTAGGCTTAGACCTGGGCTGCAGGAGCCCAGAACTGACAGCCCAGGGACCGGAAGTGATGCAATCTGCATCGCTCCCGGTCCCATAGAACGGGGAGGGGATCGATGAACGGAAGTTCGTCG